CAGTAGTACAGTAGTAGTACAGTTAGTAGTAGTAGTACAGTAGTAGTACAGTTAGTAGCAGTAGTACAGTAGTAGTACAGTTAGTAGTAGTAGTACAGTAGTAGTACAGTTAGTAGTAATAGTACAGTAGTAGTACAGTTAGTAGCAGTAGTACAGTAGTAGTACAGTTAGTAGTAGTAATACAGTAGTAGTACAGTTAGTAGTAGTAGTACAGTTAGTAGTAGTAGTACAGTAGTAGTACAGTTAATAGCAGTAGTACAGTAGTAGTACAGTTAGTAGTAGTAGTACAGTAGTAGTACAGTTAGTAGCAGTAGTACAGTAGTAGTACAGTTAGTAGTAGTAGTACAGTAGTAGTACAGTTAGTAGTAGTAGTACAGTAGTAGTACAGTTAGTAGTAGTACAGTAGTATACAGTTAGTAGTAGTAGTACAGTTAGTAGCAGTAGTACAGTAGTAGTACAGTTAGTAGCAGTAGTACAGTTAGTAGCAGTAGTACAGTAGTAGTACAGTTAGTAGTAGTAGTACAGTAGTAGTACAGTTAGTAGTAGTAGTAGTACAGTTAGTAGCAGTAGCACAGTAGTAGTACAGTTAGTAGTAGTAGTAGTACAGTTAGTAGTACAGTTAGTAGCAGTAGTACAGTAGTAGTACAGTTAGTAGCAGTAGTACAGTAGTAGTACAGTTAGTAGTAGTAGTACAGTAGTAGTACAGTTAGTAGTAGCAGTACAGTAGTTGTACAGATAGTAGTAGTAGTACAGTTATTAGCAGTAGTACAGAAGTAGTACAGTTAGTAGTAGTAGTACAGTAGTAGTACAGTTAGTAGTAGTAGTACAGTAGTAGTACAGTTAGTAGCAGTAGTACAGTTAGTAGCAGTAGTACAGTAGTAGTACAGTTAGTAGCAGTAGTACAGTAGTAGTACAGTTAGTAGCAGTAGTACAGTTAGTAGCAGTAGTAGTACAGTAGTAGTACAGTTAGTAGTAGTAGTACAGTAGTAGTACAGTTAGTAGCAGTAGTACAGTAGTAGTACAGTTAGTAGCAGTAGTACAGTAGTAGTACAGTTAGTAGTAGTAGTACAGTAGTAGTACAGTTAGTAGTAGTAGTACAGTAGTAGTACAGTTAGTAGTAGTAGTAGTACAGTTAGTAGTAGTAGTACAGTAGTAGTACAGGTTAGTAGTACAGTTAGTAGCATAGTACAGTGTAGTAGCAGTAGTACAGTAGTAGTACAGTTAGTAGCAGTAGTACAGTAGTAGTACAGTTAGTAGCAGTAGTACAGTAGTAGTACAGTTAGTAGTAGTAGTACAGCAGTAGTAGATAGTTAGTAGTAGTAGTACAGTTAGTAGCAGTAGTACAGTAGGAGTACAGTTAGTAGTAGTAGTACAGTAGTAGTACAGTTAGTAGTAGTAGTACAGTAGTAGTACAGTTAGTAGTAGTAGTAGTACAGTTAGTAGCAGTAGTACAGTAGTAGTACAGTTAGTAGCAGTAGTACAGTAGTAGTACACGTTAGTAGCAGTAGTACAGTAGTAGTACAGTTAGTAGTAGTAGTACAGTAGTAGTACAGTTAGTAGTAGTCAGTAGTACAGTTTAGTAAGTAGTAGTACTGTAAGTAGTACAGTTAGTAGACAGTTAGTAGCAGTAGTTACAGTTATAGCAGTAGTACAGTAGTAGTACAGTTAGAAGCAGTAGTACAGTAGTAGTACAGTTAGTAGCAGTAGTACAGTAGTAGTACAGTTAGTAGCAGTAGTACAGTAGTAGTACAGTTAGTAGTAGTAGTAGTACAGTTAGTAGCAGTAGTACAGTAAGTAGTACATTAGTAGTAGTAGGTACAGTAGTAGAACAGTAGTAGGAGTAGTAGTACAGTTAGTAGTAGTAGTACAGTAGTAGTACAGTTAGTAGTAGTAGTAGTACAGTTAGTAGCAGTAGTACAGTAGTAGTACAGTTAGTAGTAGTAGTACAGTAGTAGTACAGTAGTAGTAGTAGTACAGTAGTAGTACAGGTTAGTAGTAGTAGTACAGTTAGTAGTATAGACAGTTAGTAGTAGTAGTACAGTTAGTAGCAGTAGTACATTAGTAGTACAGTTAGTAGTAGTACAGTTAGTAGCAGTAGTACAGTTAGTAGTAGTAGTACAGTTAGTAGCAGTAGTACAGTTAGTAGCAGTAGTACAGTAGTAGTACAGTTAGTAGAAGTAGTACAGTAGTAGTACAGTTAGTAGTAGTAGTACAGTAGTAGTACAGTTAGTAGCAGTAGTACAGTAGTAGTACAGTTAGTAGTAGTAGTACAGTAGTAGTACAGTTAGTAGTAGTAGTACAGTAGTAGTACAGTTAGTAGCAGTAGTTGTTGTTGTTGTAAAGACCCGTATAGAGCCACCTCTAAGGGCTTTGAGACAGTTTATTAAATATAATAATCAATAATCAATAATATCGAAATTATTTTCAAACTCAAAGTTGAAATCACACTCACACTAAAAAGATCAATTATTTTGTCAAATAGTAAAAATTTAAAAATTTAAAAAAACTCTCGACACATTACAGTACGTGAGCATGATTAGCATGCCTTTCATTTTATTTGTACCACTTAAGTCCCAGAACTTTTTATTTCTTAATTCTGCTTGCTAAAGTTTGTTATAATATACGGCTATTCTAATTTCTAGAAATTTTCAAGCGTGACGATGAAAATTTTATCGCGAGAATTATCTTTAAGATTTAGGGCCGTATTTACCAAATTTGCTTAAAGTACGACCTTAAAGGAAGAATTTTAAGTATCACGTTAAAGTGACACTTAAAAAGTTGGACCTTAATCGAAATTAGTATTTACCAACTGGAAATAGCTCGTACTTTAATTTATAGGTTGACCTCCCACTTATGCTCTAAGTGGGAGGTCAACCTTTAACTAAAATTGTTATTCACCAAAATTTTATCACTGAACTGACACTTTAAGTGCAGAATTAGATGTATTGTAATGTATTGTATAAGAACATGATGAGTATCAGGAGGTAATTAGGGGAAAATAGACTGCTGAAAGATTAAATAGAGAGCAAGATTAACAAATTTTACTAATTATCAGGAGAGCTGTTAGCACAAAGCTATCAGGAGGTAAACCAATGTTTGCGAGTTGCTGTAATATGTTTCTGATCGAAATCCGTTTGTCTGATTTGTTTGCTCCTTTGGTAAATTTGAATAATGAATGAGTATTGAGTACGACGACTTGTTAAACCCACAACGGCAGCGGGTAGAATCTAGAGTTATTCAGCGCAGGCCTGTCTCACTAAGAGACCGATTTAACCTACTGGAGGCATACGATGACGTAGATTTTTACTACCGATTTCGAGTCAAGATAGAAGGTTTTCTTCTCATCCTCCAAGCCGTAGAGCCCCTACTTTCTCAGTACAGGAAACAAACCAATTCCCCATATTTCACTTCAATATTTACTATATTTTTACTCTTGAAACGCTAGTGTTTTTATTGTTTTTCACACGGTGCAAGTACATAATTAACCGTTAAATGAGTAGAGATCTTAATTATAAATGAGTCAAAATCAATACGTTTAGCTCTAATATGACAGCTATAATATAACCGCTAATCATAACCAACTATAATATATTTTAGAATATAACTGTTACATATGTAACAGATTTTAAACTTTAAGTATGAGGTCTGTAGATTAAGGGTGACATAGGTGTACCTTAAAAATAGTCGTTTTAAGTGTGAGTTTAAGTACGAACTTAAGTATGACTCGATTTGGTAAATACCAATTTTGAGGGATTTTAAGTGTGACACTTAAAAATTAAGGGTGACACTTAAAAGAGAATTTCGTGAATACCATTTGTAGAGTTGCCACTTAAACTCCTTTTTAAGTGCGACCTCATCCTTAAACTGCTGTTTAAGTATGACCTAAAGGTTGGTAAATACGGCCCTTAGGGCCGTATTTACCAAATTTGCTTAAAGTACGACCTTAAAGGAAGAATTTTAAGTATCACGTTAAAGTGACACTTAAAAAGTTGGACCTTAATCGAAATTAGTATTTACCAACTGGAAATAGC